TAAAGTGTATTATATATGATTTAGGGCATAAATAGCAAAAAATAAAAAATAAAAATAATAATAATAAAATATATATATATATATCTCCGCAGATTCTTTCTGGCCCTGTTCAAGTACTAATAAATAGCCAATATGTTAATAACAGGTAGGAAATTAGCAGAGACGTATAGTAACGAAGTAGAACTACTTCACTACTGTACTTAAGTACTAAAAGCCTGTATTTGTACTCTACTGAAGTATTGTTTTTTTTTTCTCCTGCTTTCACTTTTACTTCAGTACATATTTTAGATGAGTTTAACACTTTTGCTCCGATAGATTTTTAATGTGCTGCATAGTTACTTGTTACAATTATAAAGATGTTACAAATCATTCCAAACCCACATTATCACTGCCAGAGCTGTAGATGGCTCTGTCACAAGTTTGAATAAGCTGGCTCATCATTATTTAAACGATCAAAGACAGAGCTGTCTCTATATATCAAGATATAAAGGTAAGTTAAAAATAATATAATACACAAAACAAAGCAGTTTGAGCTATATATACATAATAAATTGAAAACCATGTTTTTTTTTCGTTCTGCTCAATCACGTGCCGTAAAAAAAGATATTTAAAATTAAACAAAATATCTTTTGACTGCTTTAACACTTATACTTTTACTTTCAGTATTTGAGTAGTAAATTTTAAAATAATCTACTTGCAATACTTAAGTACAAAACATGTTGAATACTTTAGTACTTCCACTTAATTATGGTGCTTAAAGAGTACTTCAACATCTACTCAAGTCACTTTTTTGATAGAGCACTTGTACTTTTACCTAAGTCTAGGTCTCTAATACTTTTTACATCTCTGGAAATAAGCCACTAGTTGATAATGGAAATTGTTACATAAACTAAAGCGTTACACCCCATTCACACGGGGCGTCAGCGTCAACGCTTCCCATTCACTTTGAATGGGTGACGTCAGGCGTTGCCGAACTGCATTGTGGATCCGTTGGCGCCGCTTCAGAGGTGTTGCTCGCTGCAGAAGTTGAAACTAGTTCAACTTTAAGCGCCGACGGAAGCGTCGGCCAATCAGATCGCTGTATGCAAATACACCAGCTACACAGTGGTCTATTGCTGACGGAATTTCATTGGCTGATGCTGCTATGATATTGAACTTCAGACACGCCTTCAGTCAAGCGTTGACGCTGAAGCCCCGTGTGAATGGGGCGTTACTCAGATATATGCAAATTTGTACTCCTTAAAAGTATTAAAAGAGCTACTGAATATATTAAATAGGGATGTAACGGTATTGTAAATACCATCATACCGCAATATTAATTTTTTTCAATATTACCGTAGTCGCATGACTCGGTAAAACTATAGGTCTTCTGAGAAAATTTGCTCAGGTGAATGAAGCGAACGGGAGGTACCGGAAACTACAATTCCCATCAGCCCAGGCTTGGCCATAATCCCTTGCGGTCTGTTGTCGCTACAGATCCAGTAATGCGGAAATGGAGTGTGCTGCTAGAAGCGGGGATGAAAAAGAGTTGGAAAACCCTAAAGCGGGTGTTGTCGCCGTGCGCGTACTGAATAGTGGTGTTGTCGCGCGAGTTCTTATGAGCTGTGTTGTCGCGCGAGTTCTTATGAGCTGTGTTGTCGCGCGCGTTCTGATCAGCTGTGTTGTCGCGCGCGTTCTGATCAGCTGTGTTGTCGCGCGCGTACTGTAAAGCGGGGACGGAGGGTATGTCGCTTTTGGGCACTTTTGATCATTTTGGAAGGGAACTTTCTATCCAAGACTAAAAAGGGCATGTGCACTGCACAGGTTGAGCCCTGTGTGTGGGGTGTTGGGGAATACGACTAATAATCAGTCATGGGGACTGCAGAAACACAGCACACTGTTTAGATTGATGCAGACATGAGATCTCTATCTCACTCATGGTTTGTCCTCTCAAGTGGGGGAAAGACAATGCACAACGTTACCCACTGCTGTCAACCTGGGCCAAGTCATATCTCTCTTGTCCCAGAAACCTCAGTCCCAAATGAGAGGGGTTTTTTTCTGTTGCAGGGGACATTGTAAATACCCAGAGATACCAGCTTTTACCAGATTATATTTATATGATAATTTTCCTTTAAACCCATCTCTATCTAAGTGAGTGAGTGATTAAATGTTGAATGAGATGAGTTTTCAACAATACTAAATTGAAACTTAATTTTTTTACATGGTTTAATATTTTTTTGTTATTAAAATTGAAGTTCCTGTTTCAAAGCTTACAGATAGATGACTAATTTGTATGTCATTGACACTTTTGGCACTTTTTTGGAGTATTTTCATAAGTTTTGTTTTTTCCTGTAAATGATTCAATAAATACCGTACCGTGACATTTACACCGAGGTATTACCGTACCGTGAAATTCTGATACCGTTACATCCCTAATATTAAACAATGTTTCCATGTTTCATCCTTCAGACACTGCTTGTTTTTCTGTGTACACACTCAAACAAACACACTTAAACAAACACACATTTACACTGCATGCCAAGCAGCCAGTCGTGACAATATGAAGAGGGCTTTTCTGTCTAGCTTGTCATAAAGCCAGTTTTATCCCAGTGCTTTGTATTAGTTGACTAAGCATCAAAACTGCCGGATGCGGCGCAGTAATTTGTCAACCTTGCTCGCTCATATGATTATAACAAACCTCAGTCAAAATTTACATCTGGAACTCATTAAACTCCAGCGTCAGGTTTTTTTGGCAAGGAAAGGTTCGCTGCAGGTGCTCATCCTGCGTTCAGCGCCTCAGTGGGCATAAGACTGTTTGACCACTGCTGTTTGGCTTCACATGAATCATAAACCATGCATGTGTAGACCTTGAATGGATGATGAGCACTCGTTGCCATACTTTCCATCTCAATTTTAAAAAAAGCAAGCAGATTTGATGGGCGATAAGAGGTTTGTGAAGAACTGTTCATGCTTGAGAGTCGATGCTGCCCACGGGCTAATATGAATTATATAATAACACAACACATTTATATGTACCTGTACTGAAAGATATAGACATTCTATTATGGAAAGTGATACAAAGTAACTCAAATCTATATCATAAATGTTCATATAGCAGTTGTCAGTGATAATAGAGAATGAGTCGTCACAGCGCAATGCATTCTGGGTATTTAGGGGAGCCTGATTTCCAATGATCTCTGTTGATTTATTGCATAGTTTATACTATAATATTACAATGAAATGGTCGACATTTTCTGTTATGATTTCCATAATTTAACAGTTTTACATTGTGCACCACTGGGTTTGTCCGACGATAGGCGCGATACATCAGTTGCATCTGTTTTCATTTTCCAATCAAATGAAAGCAGAGGCGGGGTTTTCGTTTTGATGACAGCTGTGTATTTGTTGTCAAGACGACTACAGACACTTTTAAAGACAGAGGAGAGACTTGTGGTCCCTTTTTCGATTTATCCATAGACTTCACAAATCGTACATATAACAATATTATTAAATATTACACTTATAACAATATCAACAGCAACGCTCATGCACAATATGCAACCGATTCATTGGTTGCCTAGCGATATAAAAAGCGCAGCACACTTTATTTTTTTTCTTGTCAACAAACAAGAATGCGCCGTGCGCCTGGCGATCTCAGTACAGAAAAGTGTGTTCGGTGTGATCGGCCTCCTTAAAAGTGATACATTAAACCACAGGAATCATATAAGTTATTTTATAAAAGACAGATGCACTTTTTGTAGATTCAAGAACCATTAATTGCCATTACAAAGCTCTAAAACGCAACAAGATATTACTTAATTTAAGTCTAATAATGTTTGTCTGAAAGAAGACAGGCATACATACCTAAAGTGAAAAAACAACTTTTTGGTGTATCTAATAAAATTACTGTCATCATTTAAAAATTGTAACATTAAATGTCAAGAATAACTAGAATTTCCCAAGTAAAAGTTAACATATTTACACATTTATTCAGGTAATAAATGAACTGAATGGAAAGAGTTAAATTGTAGTATTCATTTACCTGTAATATCTAATTGTTTTCTAATTACTGCAACTCTCCGCCCTTTTTTGGTTACTCCCGGTTGGAGCGATGACGTGCGAACAAAATGGCGATGTTTGGCCACGCCCACTTGTAGCTTCATTTGCACTTTTCAGAAACCTATGGATGATGTCACGGGTACTACATCCAAATCTTTTACAGTCTATGGCTGGAATCTATTCCGCAAATCCAATTCCATCGTAGTTTATCCACATTTTTTTAATCCTACTACTATCTTATGTATGCGCATTTTCTAAATTTATGCACATCTTGCCCTTATTTATGCGATATACTAAAATGCGCATTAAAATAGTCGAGTGGAAACACAGCTAATGGCTGCCACTCTTTTATAAACCCAAAAAAAGTAGAATAAAACTAGCTCATTAAACTTGTTGACTGACTAAAAACGCAGAGTGAAGTACTGCCACTTGCTGAGATTCTGCTTATGTAACAGCACACATCCAAGGTCATGTATGTCACTGTTTGTGATGATAATTCAGGAACATTAAAAAGCTCTGACACGTAATAACTAATTGATACAAGAGCTGAAAATGGGGATCAATACCTGTCCCGCGACAAGCAATTACAAAACGCTTCACTTTGCTCTTGACCTTCCTGTTCATTTAAAGCATTTAGGTAAGCAAGTCAAGCAGAAAGTCTGGCTTTCAGGGTCATTAATTGATAAGTTTTAAAGAGTGTGATTTTCACAGCAGTGAATAACATTATAATGTGCTGAAACCTTGAATGAATAGCCCAAATATAAACCATGTTTTATGTTAATAAAGTATTCATCTAGGAATGAAGAATGTCCTTGAATATGTCATGGACGACGTCAAAATAATTTTGTTTGTCAAGGGACAAGTTTTACATGGCTCTTTTGCATCAGACTGGCATGCTATCCTCATGTTGGACTTTGTTTTGCATACACAAGTGGGGGAATCTTTGTGCTGTGAGCGATTACCGTGTAATTGGGATTGCCGGGTTGTATGCGGAGCTCGGCGAGAATCCAGATCCCGTTGGTGAGTTTGAGCGACTGGTACAACATGTCCTGGCCTTCCACGTTCCTCTTTGCGATGGTGTAGACATTGTTGCTCTGCAGTTTGCCCGACACCGTATCTGACAAGAGATAAGGCACATGATTGGTTAGCTGACAAGTGTGGGTGTAACAGATCACAGTTGATCTGGTTTGGAACGCACGTGACCTGTGCATTAATAACTTTTTTTTTACTTGTAGAATAATCCTAAATTTGTAACGATTGCAGAGAAAAATAGTCATTTTTTCTGCTGATATTGCTTTACGTATGACTAAACAAAGAAGTTGTGTTCATGTGAATGGTGCATAATCAACAATATTAGCGGATCACATGAATAGAGCATTTTGACTTCCCTGTAAAATATAATGATGGCTGAAGAAGTTGTGGAGGCACCTAAATGCATGTCTTTCTTAGGTTATTAAAGGTGTTTCTGTCACTTCTTGTTTAGCCTGCGCTATCGCACAATTAATCATTAAGTGATCGGGATTTCGATTTACACCGACAATATCAATTATAAATGTTTAAGATTTCCATGTTTAATAATTCTTTGATAATTCAAATCAGCGTTTGATAGAAAATGAGCCTCCCATCAGTGCCAATATACAGCCAAATCGCACTGCTACCAGTGTGATATTGCTCATATCTATATATATATATATATATATATATATATATATATATATATATATATATATATATATATATATATATATATATATATATATATATATATATTATTATTATTATTATTTTTCATCCAATATTGCCCACACCTGCTTCATGAGTTGAACGAATCGTACCAACAATCAAATAAAAGAAATAAAAAGTATATAAAAACAAAACAAACGTAAATAACATAAATGTTAAACTACTGTACTGAACTGCTGATCTGGAGTGATTCTGTTCTGGAATCAGACACTCCTGAATCATATCACTGCACTGTGGGAGATCTGGACAGCGTGAAAGGAGAGATTGAGGGAATGATGAAACCCCTGGCAACAGAGACAGACATGCGCCGAAAGACAAAGACGGGCACAAACAATGTAAGAGCAAACTAAAGGGCCACCATAAAACGCAATAAAGTGGTTAGAAGGGGGAGAAATGATGGATCGGGGAAATAAAAAGCCAACGAACAAATAACAGACAACGAAGACGGAAAACACTTCTACAGAGAGAAGAAGGTCCGAGGACAGTGACAGTCAGCCTGCGGTTATATAAGCCACAGAATCAGGTGATGACAGCTGGTGTTACCAACATGTGGAGCGTGTGTGTGTGCGTGTGTGTGACTCACTCCAGTTCACACTACTGCTATCAATTCTCGCTTCACAATACACAAAGCTGCTGTACACACTATATTCCCACTATATTTCAGATCTGCTGAAGGACATGCAAAACACGCTGCCAAAGCATTGCTATGTGATTGCTTCAGTGTTTTAAACGACTGTTAGCACATGGCTATGCGGTTGCTAGATGGTTGTTAGGTGGTTGCTTGGAAAAATAAATAGATCTAGAGATTCTATGGGTTACAAATGTATATTGCTTTTTTTACCTGCGTGAAGGTTGTAGTATTTTTATAACAATTTGTATTAGAACAAATATTCAATAAATTACTTCAATTTTAAAATAATAATACATTTACATTTGATCATTTATCATATGCTTAATTAAATGTTGATAAAACGCTGTTTATATTTGCGCGCGCACACACACACACACACACACACACACACACACACACACACACACACACACACACACACACACACACACACACACACACACACACACACACACACACACACACACACACACACACACCAATTTTGGGGAAAATAGTATAAGACTATACTCATACAAATGCATCTCTAGTTATATCTAAGCTATCATAGCTAGAAGTAACTCGTATCCACATATTTCAACCTGTGGCATGACGTATTTTGGATTCTTCTTGATTTCTGAAACATTCACGCACAGGCAGACACATTCTAGTAAAACATTTATGCAGCAAACTAATTAGCGATGCTGATTTTCTGCTGGATTAAGCGCTGAAATTATTCATCATTAGAAATCTTGTTGATTCACAGACTTCATGAATGCATCTCTTCCTCCTGGACTTTTGAACAAATCAGGCAGTCTCTTAACAACAACAACAACAACAACAACACAAGAAACACCTTCCACTGATTCAATTCCATTGGGAAGCATTGAGTCATTCACAAATAACAACAATGGACACGGTGTTTAAAATGCGTTGGGTTATATCTCGCTCTCGCTTTTCTGTGCTCCATTACATTCACATCGCTATTCAAGTCATGGTCAAGATAGATCCAATCAGCATCTCACAATAGAAGTCGATTATTTTCTACATACTAATAAACGTGTTTGAAGCTGAACAGCATGGCTACCAAAACAACACAGCAGAAGAAGAAAAAAAAATAATCAAAGCTTGGATTTGTCAAAGTGCTGCTGTTTGGGTGAATGCAACGCTCAGCCCCAAGTGTGCGGATAAAAATCCTGCATCTGCGCAGCGTATGTGCGCTCTGCTAAAATGAGAGCAGATGAAAGCAGGGGAAGTGAGATTGTCTGACGTCTGGTGATTAAGGCACCTCTGGGCGTCTGATCAGTAATTCCAGCGAGTGCCGGTCTCTGTGTTCGCCGCGTCTGCTGCTGGATGCTCAAATTGGCTTCAGGTTGATGAATACAAATAGCGAGCTGATAAGCCTTGAAATAAACCAGCTCGGTCAGAGTCTGTGCACACGGCACGTCACGTTCCACAACGCTTTTCCGTCGCCACCAGACTAAATAATTAACTGTGAATTACAGCACAATTGTGGGAGCTGTTTGTTTTTCTTCTAACACTGGAATCAAGAGACTCTTTATGAAAGATGAAACCTCATACAGTGCACAGTGGACCACAGCAGAGGATTTCATAATGCATTAATACAGCACTCCGACAACAGTAGGCTTAATATTAAAGCACTGTGAAGACATTGGAGTCATAAATCGAGAACATGATATTCAGCACTATTCGGGAATATGATGAGCAAAGCTTTAATACTAGGGGTGTAAACAGTACTGAGTTCGAGTGGTTACACTTTCTTTTAAGGTGTTACAGTGTAACTATTTAACTACATTGTAATATGAATTAATTAAATTAATGAATTAGTACATCATAAGTGTACTATAATATAATATAATATAATATAATATAATATAATATAATATAATATAAAATAATATAATATAATATAAGGGGGGGTCTTAAGCAATCATAAAATGTCTTTGAATATTAAGAAATTTTTATTAAAAGAATTTTTTTAACAAAGCATCATTTTAATAATATCTAAATTGTAAATATTAAACTGCTATTTGTTATTATTATTATTATTATTTTCTTAACTTATTTTCAATAATTATAGGGGAAAATATCAAGAAATCATTAAAATATTTTGGAGTATTAAGGAACTTTTAATAAAGTATGATTTTTTGATAAAGTGTCATGTTAGATATTATTAAAATTCTATAAACTGCTATTTGTTATTTATTTTCAACAATATATTATCTATTATTATTATTATGAGGAAAAAAATGGAAAAATTTGTTATCACTATATTTTACAATATATTTTATTATTATTATTATTATTATTATGGAAAAAAATCTCTTGCGATTGTAAAAATGTTTTTGAATATTGAGGAATCTTTATTTTATTAAGTAATCATTCTTTCCTCATGCAAGTCTTCAAAACGCACATGCACAACATATGGCAAGCGTGTTCAATTCAGTTCCTGCAGGGCTGCAGCCCTTGTACAGTTTAGTTCCAACCCTGCTTCAACACACTTAAGCCGCGGTCACATTGCACTTTTACCTCATACACTTGCATTCATACGCATGCGAATGCAGCAGACCTGAAAAGCAAGCTTGTGCGACAAGTTTCACAGTTTGCTGCATTGGAAAGTTCAAGATTGGTGAACTCTGACCTGCGAAATCACATGACTGCGTAAGACCAATCGAAGATCAAAACATGACCTCTCTGTACACAAATGCTTAATATGACCCAATTGCTTGCTTTTTAAATGTCCTATCATCTTGTTCAATCCTGACCTTTTTACAGCACCGTATGACTGAATTTCGCATGCTCAAACTCGAGTGTGACCACGGCTTTGCATATAGGTTTCAAAGTAGCCTGAAGAACTCATTTAGTTTGATCAGGTGTGTTGAATTAGGGTTGGAACTTAACTGTGCAGAGCTGCGGCCCTCCAATTTGACCCCTGTGATGTAGGGTGATAGGAACCCAGCTAATTTCATGGGATCCTTCAGAAATTTCTGTAATCTTAATAAATATTTCTTTATCATTCACTTTTTTTAAATGTTTTGCTTAATGTTTTTGTAAAATCAAATAGAGCGAGGCAGTGGCGCAGTAGGTAGTGCTGTCGCCTCACAGCAAGAAGGTCGCTGGGTCGAACCTCGGATCTGTTGGCGTTTCTGTGTGGAGTTTGCATGTTCTCCTTGCCTTTGCGTGGGTTTCCACCACAGTCCAAAGACATGCGGTACAGGTGAATTGGGTAGGCTAATGAGCGTGTGTGTGGATGTTTCCCAGAGATGGGTTGCGGCTGGATGGGCATATGCTGCGTAAAAACTTGCTGGATAAGTTGGCGGTTCATTCCGGAGTGGCGACTCCGAATTAATAAAGGGACTAAGCCGACAAGAAAATGAATGAATGAATAAAATCAAATAGTTTTTAAATACGCTTGGTGTATAGAACAGCCAAGATATTTCTAAAAATATAAAAGTTATTACTGACAAATTTGATATATTTAATGCATCATTGTAAATATAATATATGCAAGTTTATTGTAAAATCACCAAATGTAATTTGATATTTCAGAATGCAATTTATAGTCTATATATATATATATATATATATATTTTTTTTTTTTATATATATATATAGGTAAACCCCTGTAAAACAAAATAATTTAAATATTTTTTTAATATATTAAACAAATAAAATGTGTAGCAATTATTTTAATCTTTGCGAATTTTAATTGACCATTTTGGTCCCAATGCGGGACAGTTAGAGAAAGAAAGAGAGAGGCACTGTGACATTCATCACAGAGCTGTACAATTAGACTAAAACAGTTGACAATTTGTCTAATGGGGCGATTCTCATCATTTAAGCTGTGCTAAATGAGATTATATTAATTAAAAAAACACATCATCAGTAATTATCTAAACACAGCCAGCATACTACACTGTATCAGCTGGCAAAAAGCTACAAGCACTCTACTGACCTACTATGCGCCTTTGATTCAATGAGCACTTATCCATGCAAACCGCTCTAAAATAACTCAACCACGAGTCCTGCATTTTGAGAACTTGATGATCTCACCTGCGTTTAAGTGGCAGTCTTTGATCTGGTATTGCAGCTCATTCTCATTAGGAATGTCCTTCCATGTGGCCAAGAACACCTGACGCTCTGTCAAAAACAAGTGCAAAGGTTATCATCTGGGACTGTCCATGTAGTATCTAAAATGTTTGCTCAATTCTATCTACATCTAATCATTCCAGTCTCTCATTAAAGGGTTAGTTCACCCAAATATTCAATTTGTGTAATTAATTATTCATTAAAATGTCATTCCAATTTCCTGAGAGCTTCGTTCATCTTCGGTACACAAATTAAGGCATTTTAGATGAAATTCGAGAGCACTCCCATCCTCCACATACAGCAAGAAAGCACCAAAAACATTGTCAAAACATTACAAGTGACTTCAGTGGTTCAACTGTAATCATACGAAGCTCTATGAACACTTTTGTGCGCCAAAATAACTAAAAGTTACTTAATTTTGTATTCTCGTCTGTGACAAGTTAGTCAAGTCTTGTTGTCCATCCAAGTTCTAGGAATAACAAATAATAACTTGACTTCTAGTTGATCATTTGGTATCAGAAGTGCCTTATATGAAAGGTAAAGACCTCTAGATCACGCTAATTTAACCAAAATAACATATCATCATGCCTTTATTTTTAATTATTTAATTAGAACAGTAAGGTCTGACTTTGCTTAAACAAAAGTCTTATCACTTAACAGAAATAATGTACAGTATAGAATATAAAGTCATGCTGCAGTGTATAAATAATTAACATCGCTGCAATGACTCAAATCACTTATTAATTAAGTCATCTGTTAAGTCATTGCTTTTGGTTGCTTTTATAGACTTTAAACATCTCTGGACCCTTCTTGAGGTGAGGGAGCTCTCGGATAACATTAAAATATATACTAATTTGTGTTTTGAAGGTCACTGAAGATCTGCTAGGATTGGAATGACTTGAGAGTGATTAATACCACAATAATTTTCTTTGGGTGAACTAACCCTGAGCTCAAACCAAACATTAATGTGACCAGAGTGTTGTTTTTAAAGGGAATGCGTACCCATTTTGCCATCCTCCACGAAGAAGACATTGAGAGGGATCAGCGTGCTAAAGTAGAAGACATCAATATTGTTTTTCACGGCCACCTGTGGTGGAAAAGGTTGAGTGGTCAGAGATTTAAATACACAAGCAATCTAAAACATCTATATACTCACTGGCTTGGAAACGAAATAGAAAAAAAAGCTTCCAATTGCAGAGAAAATGAGAAGCAAGGCACAAGGAATGGTAAAAAAAAAAAAAAAAAAAAAAAAAAAAAAATCAAAGGTCGCACCCTGCTGATGAGTTCTTTCATATTTTACACCATGTTAATATTATTAGACTGGAAACTGAGCCTTAGAAATCTAATGCATAAATTATGGCGAAATTGAGCCCTATTTTCAGACACACAACATGTTTATTGATGGTATGGAGGTTAATTTCTCTTGTTGTATCGGCAGACAGCAGATGTGACAGCAGAAATCGGCAGACTTGTTGTATTTCTGGATTACTTTAGGGGAAAATGTGCTTAATAGGTTAGGGTACTTTGACGCCTGTAGTATGGTTCGTTTGGTCCAGACCAAGGTTACAAATGGTATATTGTAGCATTTTCAGCTGTTTTGGTTCCATTTCAGACCAGACCAACGGCCTTGAATGAACCATAAAGCAGTCACGTGACAACATCCACATTTCCAGCAGCCACTTCAGTCAACACATACCCTAAGGGTGTACTTACACTATGCTATCCGAGCCGGCTGTGCTCAGGTGTGGTTCAATTGGCTGGGCCTGGCACGGTTGGATAAGGTGTGCCAGAGCATGGTTCACTAGGGCTTGTAGTGTGAGTGCAATGAACGCAAACTGTCGTAGATTATTAAAGACGCAAACCCCTCACTGCGCTCCCGACATCTGTCATTGAAATAACGCCATAGGTAGTTGGTAGATATGTATAAAAGGCCTGCTGCACAACTGAAAAAAATCCCAGGGGAAACCCTGGAATCATTACAGCCCTACTCACTAGCAGTAATAGACACTCAGCAGGCAGCACTGTTTAATACTGAACAGCCAGTTTTAACAGCAAAGAGGTAAGGAGGAAAAAATAGAGGTTCAAAGGATGAGACATCATGGTGTAAATGCCAAAGGAAGGCAGTGGAAGAAACAGCTGGGTGTCCATCTGAAGATAAACCGATATGCTTTGGTAAAACTAATGAGGCGGAAACGTGTCGATATTAATCATCTAAAAATGATTATGATTCATAATGACGTTTGTATTTGATTGATTATCTGCACTAGCAGCAGACTAGATGCTGCGGGCTAGAACTCATCATCTAGAGTGTTTTAAAAGCAGAAAATTGAATGTTTTGCAGCTGCCGTGACATACAAATGATCTCAGTAACTAATGAAGGCCACTGACTCAAATAATCACAGTCAAACGTGCCCGCTGTGCCGCTGAGAGCTCGGAGGGGTTTGATACACAGAGATGTCATTTTATTTGTGATGTGTCAATGCCTGTGGGATGATTAATGCAAAGCAGCGGCCTCAGGAGGACCCATGGGCGTGTGTGTGGGTGTGTACGGGGGTGTAAAACATGAGGCAAAGGGTGGTAATGGATCAAACCTGTAGGTTGTTGAGTGGATCCATTTTCATCACAGGGCCGATGGTGTTGAGCGGGAGGGAGATGTCGATGCTCTGACTGGGCATCAGTGGAGTGTGGACGGGGAGAGGTGTGGTGGGGATTACACCAAAACTAAACACAACAACAAAAAGGTGTACAAGGTCACTATATGCATTGATAAACAATAACTTCATGTTTCACTTAAAAACCAGGTTTAAATCCTAATGTGAAGTATATGTGGTATCACTTTATTCTGATGGTCCCTATTGCATACTTTTTTCGTTCTTTTTTTTTAGCATTTGTATAGCGCATTTATCGTGTATGGCCATACATTAAAGCACTTCCCATTCATGAGGGGGGTCTCTCCACACCACCACCAGTGTGCAGCATCCACTTGGATGATGCGACGGCAGCCACAGGTTATATGCTATATGTGTTGAGCGCACTGGCGTCGTTGTCCTGTGGCTGCCGTCGCATCATCCAAGTGGATGCTGATCACTGGTGGTGGTGTGGAGAGACAGTGAAAAAGCCAATTCAGTGGATGGGGATGATTGGGAGGCCATTATTGATAAGGGCTGATGTAGAGAATTTGGTCAGGACACCAGGGATACACCCCTACTCTTTACGAGAAGTGCCGTGAGATTTTTAATAACCACAGAGAGTCAGGACTTCGGTTTACCGTCTTATTCAAAAGACTCATATTGTTGACTATGATTTTGCAACTTCATATAAACAAATAACTAAATATTCATATTAGAATATTAGCAGACTGTCTGCTTAAAAATCTGCAGACACTGTCACTCCAACAAACATTTAATTGACTATAAGAATCTTTGCAAGTACACCATGTACATCCGCTTACTCTAACCCTAAAGGCTGATTTATACTTCTGCGGCAAGCGCATGCATATGCTCTAGTGCAGCCTTCGTGCCGTCGCATAGCCCTCGCCATAGCTGACGACTATGCTGATGCGCACCTCTCGAAAAATGTAACTACACGTCGCAACGACGCATACAGCAAGCTCTGTGATTGGTTGGCTTGAGAGCGCTGATGATTGTGGGCGGGACCGAGAGCCGCACGAACCTGTTGGAGCGAGTGTTTTCAAGTGTCGAGTCCAGTGAAAGAGCTCCAGGTGGAAAGTTTTGATTTGTGTTTACCTTATGATTAAAGTTGTTATACGTTTGCTAGTTCCCACCTCAGAATGAGAAAGTTTCAGCTACTAGTACATTCAGGTAGCGTTCAGAATAAAACAAAACACCAGCAAAGAAACTCGTCACAGAGGAACATAAAAACTGCACTTCGAGCTAGCTTTTCGGAAGTGTTATTGCAGAGCAACACAAACAGCGCGCATAAGTATAAATACATGGCAACGTGCAAGGCATGCGCTGTCGTTCATGGCAATCACTCGATGCAGAAGTAGAAATCAGCCTTAACCCTAATTAGTTGGCATGAAGTTGCAACATTTACATTACATTTACATTTAGTCATGTAGCAGATGCTTTTATCCAAAGCGACTTACAAATGAGGACAAGGAAGCAATTTACACAACTCTAAGAGCAACAATGGATAAGTGCTGTAGGCAAGTTTCAGGTATGTAATGAAAGTGTAAGAAGCAAAACATTATTATATTAGTATGTTTTTTTTTTTTTAGTAGTAAGTGGTGGAGCCAGAGAGGGAATTGCAGATTAGTAAGGAAAGCGGGGACTTAATAGTTGAGTTATTAGTCGTTTCTTAAAGACAGCGAGTGACTCTGCCGTTCTCATGCAGTTAGGGTGTTCATTCCACCACCTGGGCAGATTAAATGCGAGAGTTCGGGAAAGTGATTTCTTTCCTCTAAGGGATGGAACCACAAGACGACGTTCATTCACAGAACACACGTTTCTGGAGGGCACATAAATCTGTAGAAGTTGGAGCAGATAAGAAGGAGCAAAGCCAGAAATCGCTTTGTAAGCAAACATCAAAGCTTTGTATTTGATGCGAGCAGCAACTGGCAGCCAGTGCAAACGGATGAGTAGCGGAGTGACACGTGCTCTTTTATAACTTGAAATCAACAAAAATTGTTAAAAGGACCATCAAAATACAGTGATACAGTGTTACAAGTGATACAATGTTTCAAAGTTTGGCAAAAGAAAAGACCTATTAACCAAGTAACCAATAGTTCCATTAGGGATGATACTGGAATCCAATACCAATCGGTACTGAGATTTTAAAAACATCAATTTCCAGCTACATTTGAGCGCTTTTGAGTGCAGTCTTAAAAATCGCTGATTTGCCATTGTGTTAATGTGCTCAACAGAAATACTGTGATTGGCTGTGAAGTCACCTCTGTTTACTGATTGCAACCACAAATACAGAGACATTGGAGCGTTTTAAAGTCGTGAAGATTAGTCAATCAGCGGATTGCTCTTATGTCAGCTTATAAACAGACCAGCTGCTCTTTGCTGCTTTAAAATGCTCCAGTGTCCCTGTATCCGTTGCAAAATTTCAGTACTGATTGGTAAAAAAAAAAAATGTGGAAAAAGTGAAGGGCTATGAAAACTTTCTAGATGCACTGTACAGTGCTGAAAACAACAATTTAGTGGGTGTCTTCTGTAAACCATAGCCATCATTTATGTTACTCATCTTTTTCCTTTTTTTGCTCGGGATACAACAAAAAAAGACACATTGTATCATCATTTATCATCATAACAGCAAACCTGTTCTTGTTGAACTGGATGGCAAAGTCAGTCATATGCTGCAATGCTTTATTGGTGAAGGTCATGTCCATATACATGTGCCCTTGACGCCGAGAGAAGGTTCCAGAAATCTCCAGTCCTTTGGCCTTGACTGCTGGCAGCCACACCTTCGAAAAAAAAGTAAAACAAAGCAATAAGTGTTCATCACCACCCTAATTTTACACTTTCTCTACTTATTAAAATGAAAGCTATCAGGCTAAGAGGATAACTACAGGCACTCTAAACTGAAGGACACTTTTAATGGAGGCGTCTGACATTGACCTACACTCACTCACCCAGACCACTGTTGCTTACAAGAACTGCGCTCGCATCCGAAAAAGAAACAGAATCAGATAATGAGAGACAAATTGACACATATTTATACAGCACGGATTCACCCCTGGGGAACTCAAGGTAGATCAAAAAGTGCCCTAATATGGACTAATTGTGCTCTGTCCTGCTCTACTGACCTACTCCGGCTCTAATAGAGCTCTTATTAATGATGATTGCTGAGAAGTCTTTCCCCCGAGAGCTGTTCTGCACGCCGGTATTTATGTAGCCCATGAAGTTAATTCTCATCTTGGAAAATGAGAACAGACTGAACTGCCCTTCTTAGGAATAAAATGGGTGCTGGGGTTGAATTATGGGATACATCAAAGGTTATGTATTAAGGAAGCACATGAGCTGCGGTTTATGTTCTCCTATTATCAAGTGAAGCCAAGTCACCTTCATTTCTTTGGACCTTTTTCCCGGCTGCTGCATGGAGGGCGCCATAGTGACCAGCGTCTTCCGGATGAATGCTAAAAACTTCCGTTTACAGCGTTGACAAATGGTAATTTGCGCTCCGAAAATGGGTTTCAATGGCATTTTAATAGATTTAAGAGTGTTTTTGTGACACACAAGTTAGAAATGTGTCTGGTAAAGCCGTTATAATCTGTCAGATGTGGTTCAAGCACATCAGAAATACGAGAAAACCGTTCTCCTAGGTCACGTGTCTGCCGTCAAAAATACAGTGCGTGTGTGTGTTCCCAGCCTGTCAGATGTTAGTTCAGCGGCTCTTCAATACACACACGCACACACACCCACACACACACAAGAGGGAAGTTGGAGCTAAACGCTGCAGGGTACTGGACCTCCAGGAACGAGATTGGTGACCTCTGTCCTAGAGTGATTAAACATTATTTGTGTTTTGATGTTGCTAGCTTATTTCTGATTTAGAATATTGCTAGAATGTTTAACATGCTGATAGGTGCTAACATGTTTCTAGCATGACTTAACACAATGCTACCATGTGCTTCAGTGTTTCCCCTACCATTATATAAGGGGGGCGCCCTGCCCTTCCAACAGCTGTACCTGCCCCCCTTGAAGTCACGTTAATTGTATTATCTATATAGCGCCAGATCACAACTTTTTAAATAAAAAAGCTAAATAGCCATATGTAATATCTTATTTACACAACAGCATGTCATTTCTGTTCTGTGCACCCGTCACTGCAGCTAAAATATATACAGATGCAGACATCCCAAGTCTCTGAAAAGTTCTGGGAGTCAATGCATCGAGACTCCTGGATGCCCACAAATGAATGATAGTCTCCCGGAAACCAGGCATCTCCCGCCTGGTCCTCAAATAGTTCCCGTATCCCTCTCCGCTCTTCAGATACGTCGCGCACATCCCATGCTGTGATGCAAGCGGAGCTATCTTCTCTATCCAGAGTCTTGTTATGACCTCTCCCAAAAGCTCTGCATGTCTTCCGCAAATTCATACCGGCTCCGTGATCCCCCAAAATGTATTAAAATACCCAGAAATCATGGTGACGAGAGTGAATGAGCAAGTGAACAGATCATGACAGGTACAGTGATGGTCTAAACATTACATTTGATAGGTTAAATGAATAGAGCAGTAAAGATATCACGAGTGCAAATCCCCTCCCCCCAATGCTAGCATGATTTAACACGTTGTTACTGTGTTTTTTTGAATGGTTTATTTTTTTTTTTTTACATCTTGCAAACTTGTTTGTAGCATGTTTTAGCATATTGCTAACTTATTTTTCGCATGATTTACTAACGCTAACATGTAATATCACATAACAGTATATAATGTATCAGCAGACTACTCTGCTAGCCTGATTCAATACACTGCTATTTTAATTTTTTAATGGTTTAACACTGCTATTTTTCTAATTTTGCTAATGTGTTTGTAACATGCTTTAACATACCGTTAACTTGTTTTTTGCATGATTTACCATTGCTAACTTGTAATAGCACTGAACATTATCATGAATTAGAACTATTTAGCTAGCATAATTTAATGGTTTAACACTGCTGTTTTCGAAACGTTGCTAAAGTGTTTGTAGTATGTTTTAGCATATTGTTAAATTGTTCTTCACATAATTATCCATAGCTAGCATGTAATATCACGTAACATTTTATAATGTATTAGCAGACTGCTCTGCTAGCATGATTTAACACATTGTTACTGTGTTTTTAAATGGTTTATTTTTTTTACATTTTGCTAACTTGTTTGTAGCATGTTTTTTAGCATACTGCTAACTTGTTTTTCACATGATTTACCATCACTAACATGTAATATCATGCAACATTTTATGATGAATTAGCAGACTATTCTGCTAGCAAGATTTAACCCATTGCTATTATGTTTTTAGGTTTAACGCTGGAATTTTTAAAACATTTTGCTAACTTGTTTGTAGCATGTTTTAGCATTTTGTTAACTTGTTTTTCGCATGATTTTCTATTGCTAACATGTAATATCACATAACAGTTTATCATGAACTAGCAGCCTGCTCTGCTAGCACGATTTAACACATTATTACTATGTTTTTTGAATGGTTTAACACAGGAATTATGTATGTGTTGCAAACTTGTTTGAAACATGTTTTAGCATAGTGTTGAATCCTGTTATGGTTTTGCTGACATGTTTTTAATCCCACTGTTTTCATGTTTCCAACATGAACTCAATTTTAAAACGTTTCTATCATTATTCAGTGATACTAAAAAACAATCACGAACATTGGTAAACAGTTATGGTTAAGCGGTGAGCAGAACTTACAGTTTTAGCAGCCACATATCCTCCTGTAGCAGTGGCCATTCCTGTGGACAACTCAAACAGGTCATTGAGTCCGCTGCTAAGAGCGGCAGGTGTCGGAGATGGTGCAAAGGTGTTGGGCACCGATGATGGGATGAAGTTCTGGCCCACCTGCGGGAGACGTAGACAGAGATCATAAGATATCGGAGTGACAGAGGGCTTAAATCCACTTCAGCAGGCATCTGTGTAGACCTTTAAACACCAGCAACATGCAGTCTACATATAGGTCATACTAGCAGTGCAGGAGAAGCAGCATAAAAGCAGTAGAAGATATTTAGGCATGAAAAAAAATAGATAAAATAAAATAAATCGATGCTTTAGATTGGCTGTCATTTCAAGTCTTTAACGTTAAAAAGCTATAGATGAAATTTGAGTAATCGACTGCTTTGTAGAAATGCGTCAAAGTGACACACCTGAAATTTGAAGACATATTACTGTGGAAACACGAAAGCAATATTATTTTAATTTAAGACAGGCATTTTTTTTTTATTAAGTTTGCTGTATTAAAAATATCTTTAAAAAGACCATTTAAGAATCTGAATTGCACATACTGTATAATGCCCTCAGGGTGGTGTAATGAGAAATATTGAAAGGGATAAAATCTTTAAAGAAATTAAGACTAAAATATTACTATGCTGAATTATTTGAAACTTTTTAGCAATTTCTATCAATTTTTTCTATATCCATATACACTCACCGGCCACTTTAATAGGTACACTTACTAGTACCACCCTTTTGCCTTCAGAACAACCTTAATCATTCGTGGCATAGATTTAGCAAGGTACTGGAAATATTCCTCGGAGAATGTGGTCCATTTTGACATGATAGCATCATGTAGTTGCTTCAGATTTGTCGGCTGCACATCCATGATGCGAATTCCATGTTCAACCAGATCCCAAAGGTGCTCTATTGGATTGAGATCTGGTATCTCTGAAGGCCATTTGAGTACAGTGAACTCATTATCATGTTCGAGAATCCAGTCTGAGATGATTCGCACTTTGACATGGTCCGTTATCCTGCTGTAAATTGCCATCAGAAGATGGGCACACTGGTCATAAAGGGATGGACATGGTCAGCAACTATACTCAGATAGTCTATGGCATTGACAGGATGCTTAATTAGTACTAATAGGCCCAAAGAAAATATCCCCCACACCATTACACCACCACCAGCCTGAACTGTTGATACACGGCAGGGTGGATCCATATTTTCATGTTGTTGACGCCAAATTCTGACCCTACCATCTGAATGTTGCAGCAGAAATCGAGACTCATTAGACCAGGCAATGTTTTTCCAATCTTCTATTGTCCAATTTTGGTGAGCCTGCACGAATTGTAGCCTCAGTTTTCTGTTCTTAGCTGACAGGAGTGGCACCCGGTGTGGTCTTCTGCTGCTGTAGCCCGTCCGCTTCAAGGTTGGGCGTGTTGTTTGAACTGCAGCAGATCGTCTTGACCATGTCTACATGCCTAAATGCATTGAGTTGCTGCCATGTGATTGGCTGATTAGAAATTTGCGTTAACGAGCAGTTGGACAGGTAAACCTAATAAAGGAGCCGGTGAATGTATAATAGCATATTCCTTTAAATATGAGACAACATCATTTTTAGGACTGCTAATAGTACAACTAGATAATAATGTTTGTAGTCAAATGTTGGTTTGTAATGTTAACTCTAGAAAGTAATTCTTCAAAGCTTCAAATGTAAAATATCATTTAATCAAGTTTACTATCACATGTATAGCATGTTTCTAGCCTGATTTAACATAATGCTAGCATGTTTTAACATCCCACTGCTAGCATGTTACTAAAATGATTTAGCACACTGCAAACATGTTATCAGGGGGATGTTAGAAACATACTGCCTTTATGTTTACAAGTTTTAGCACATTGCTATCAACTTTCTAATATAATTTTCTACTGTTATTGCATTTTAATATGCTGTTTTCATGTTTTAACACATTGGTAAACAGTTTCTAGATCCAGTTTAAAACCAAACGTGGGTCTCTTTTTACACAGCTTATACTAAGCCACTTCCTCCCGCTGTAATTTGGCTCCAAATCTTCTAATATGTTCATTTTGACCCTTCTCTTATAAAACAGTGGACTACTTAGTAAGTATTCATCCTTGAGTAGCATTATTTGGTTTAATTAGCTATTAATAATTATCCTTTTCATTAAAAAACATCAGAAGATTTTAAACTGTTTGCAGAAATGTGTGGATGTGGCATGAAAATCCCCCGGCAGCACTTGAAGAAGTCATCCGAGAAACATCATACCGCCTCAAAGCAGGATGGACATTTGTGCATGCAACAGAAAGAAATAGAGCAGAACACAGAGCTAGGTGTCTATAAGGGCTGTATTAATAGTGCACAGCATGCAGAGTGAGGACAGGCGGACACGAGCGAGGAGAGAGAGAGACAGAGGAGCTCACTTACTGCAGGACTGCCCCCAACACCTCCTCCCAGATCTCCCCCGAGCTACAACAAGGGACACAAGACCCAAATCCAGGCCCACAAACAACACAACATGACACAGACAAACAGAGAGATCCATTAATAACACAATCCTGCTGTCAAGGAAGTGATGTCACAAATAACCATTAGATGCCATTTAGAAATACCATACATCAGCATAAATGAAATAGCCTTTAAAGTATATTTAAAAAGTTATTAAAGACCATGTAATTAAAAAGCTTAAAGAACGAAGCAACTTGATCTTAATCCTGTACATTATTTTAATAAACAACACAGCCTTTGTTGAATTCTGATACAGCAAAGGGGAAAATGTTGTAACTTTGGCAGCTTTCATTTTAAAAATCCTTTCATTGATGTTTACTTTCACTTTCTGCTGGCTTTTGCGCTGCATTCTTTAAACTGATGAGTTTGCAGCGTTAACTATAAACAAGCCACTTTAAACTCTGGAGAAAATGAAACAAAGTTAAATTGAGATGGGAGGGAATAGACTACAGTAAACTATAACCATAGTAACACACTGACAACCTGCTTCAAGGGCTGTTTGCATCCAGTGGGGAAATAAGCATTAACCCTTTCATGGCAGGCGTTGCTGAACACAGCTGCTGCGCTCGTGCATCCAGGTTAATCATGAACAACTCAGTGCGCATGCCCTAGTTGCACGATCGCGGTCTGATTGTTTCAATCAAGGTTTATATGCATCAAATACATAACATCTGTGCCAAACATTTCAACTGACGAACATATTAACAATAATACAACCGTATAGACCAATAAAATGTATGCATTGGCATGTTGCAGCCCTAATGAGTATGATTATGTAAAACTCCATATAGATACATATAGCAATGATTTCGGGTACTTACTTAGCGATGCACCTACACATATATGCACAATCCTAAAATGCTCTGCTAATTTGGACTCTATAATACCTGTTTTATAACTTTAAACTATCAACAACCACCACTGCGCTATATTCTAGTGATCATTCTTCCCGCTCCGTGGTGGATTTTGGCATAGTGCATTTCACGTGAGATGGCTGGGGTGAGTGGAAGAAACCAAGTCGCGGGGGGAATATTTTCTACAGAAATAATTTATGATTTCTTATGTGGCCCGGTACCAATTGTTTCACGGACCGGTACCGGTCCACGGCCCGATGTTTGGGGACCACTGTTTTACAGCATCAATGTTGTAATGTCACTAAAATACATTCAGTTAAATAAACTTTGTCATTCATTTAGTTGCTCAAGCGTAAAACGAGACAAAAAGCCGTTTACTCGTACGCGCCCGCTAGAATTGGCAGGCTAGTGCAGAAGCTCCATTGAATATACTGGGGTAAAATAAATGCTCATATTATAAAGACATGGCGGGGGGAAATGTAATTTAATGCAGTGCTTCTTGTACAATCTGAGACCCACTTTAAATCGGATATCACTCAGCCAGTGGAGATCGCTGATTTTTAAAAGAAAACAGACCTTAAACGGGCCGGTTTTTGCATTGGCATAGAGTTCGCCGGAAGCGCTTAACCCAGGTTACTGGCAAATTAAAAGTCCTATTAGCATGCTTCGGCATATACCTTATTTGCTCAAATAATAATAAAAAAAACCTCAATGATGATGTTATAAAGGTGTTCAGAAAAAGGAAAAATTTGTGATTTGAGAGACTGATAACGGCAGACAGAGGAGAGAATAATGTCAAATTTACGGTCATGCCCCATAGACGCTGCATTAGAAATGCCTCGCAAAGAAGAAAATTTGAAGCAAAGATGATACACTACATACAGAAACATATATAAATGTTCTTTTGTTTTTTGTTTTTCTAAATCTATATATAAAAAACTTTCAAGAATGTAAGATGCTGATGCGTCATAACAGGCTTGTGAAAATGGTCCATTCAATTTCTGTACCAGAATACAGTTAGACTCCCTAGAAAACCATCAAATAGTGCTATTCAAACTACCTTGTGAAACAGTAGTCGTATCGCAATATCGCAGAAAAACAAACACATCGCAATATCAGATTTTTCCAATATCGTGCAGCCCTAAACGGAATAAAAATAAAATTTTGCCATAAATTAGATTGTTAACATAATTAATAAAACATGGGTGGTAAATACCAGCAAAAATGAAGCATGTTTCATAGGTGAACCATGTTACTTCATTTATAAAATATAGACATATTTCCTTGCGTTCAGAATGAAACTCACTGATGCATCATGCACATACAATGGATGGATGCATTTAGAAAACGAATGAATCAATTCTGATTTCACGAGTATTACAGCACTGTTGATTATTTTTCTTAGTCCACATTCATCTCTCCCTGACCTTCAGACGTACAGTCACCTTGCTTTTCCCACTCAGAAAACGTGCATGCAGATTCACACTCAGCAGGACACAATTCGCAAGCTGAGCTGTGAAGCGCAACAAGCCATGCTTAAGGTCTGTCAAATGCAAAGACAAAAAAATCTCAGTTGATGCATTCTAATTCATATTGCGATTCATCTTAGACATGCTCAGTGGACTAGACCTGCTACATGTCAATATAAAACTGGCTAAAGAGCCCGTCGAGAGCGAGAGTTGAAAGTGTATCCCTTAGGGTGCTGAGTCTGCAGTGTTCGTGCACGGCTTTGAAACCGTCTTTCGACCTTGAGCAGTCAGATGGTTCTGCAGACTGTTCAATGTTTAACATTCTTCAGCTCTGAGCACTGTCTCCTTGGCAGAGAGATGACAAGCACTGGTATTTTATTGGAATGACTCACGTCGTCAGCAAGAGCATAGTCATTGTGTTGAATACAAAGCTTTGTGCGAGCGTTAAACTGACTGGCTGTTAAATAGGTTGAAAAGAAGAAGAAAAATAATTGGCAGTTTGTTTGACAATCTAATCCACTTCTTGTAAAACTACTTTGATTTGACTGCAGGATTTCGGTTTGATTCCACCTCTGTTTAGGGACTTGACGTAGGCCAGAAGGTCATTACATTCAGAATTAGTAGTACGTGGTGAATACTAGTAGGACAACTTACGTCAGAACTAAAAGAGCCCCTAATTTGCATTAAAAAAATGTCATATTTTGGTTTTGGGGGTCTCCAACAACATGCTGATATAGGTAAAAACACTCTTATTGTCTTTTAATATGCATTTATTTTATGTAATTATCCCAGCGACTCCCATATGAATTGTTCCAGCGATTCATTTGTTTCCAAACCCCTGCTTTAGCGAAGCTAAACATCGCTGACTGGCCCAATGACCGAGTATATTGCGATTGATCGACTGCATTCAGAAGGATACAGAGAGAAATGCCTACCACGGCTACAGTATGAAGTAATAATAATAATAATTCCTTACATTTATATAGCGCTTATCTGGGCACTCAAAGCGCTTTACACAACGATGGGGGGGGTCTTCTCATCCACAACTAGTGTGCAGCATCAACCTGGATGACGCAACAGCAGCCATTTTGCTCCAGACCACACACCACACACCAGCTGATTGGTGGTAAGGAGACAGAGTGATGAAGCCAATTATGATATGGGGAGGGTTAGGAGGCCATGATGGACAGAGGCCAGTGGGCAGATTTGACCAGGATGCCAGGGTGAAACCCCTACTCTTTTTCGAAGGACATCCTGGGATTTTTAACGACCACAGAGAGTCAGGACCTCGGTTTAACGTCTCATCCGAAAGACGGCACTCACTGAGCAGTATAGAGCCCCCGTCACTATACTGGGGCATTAAGACCCACACAGACCGCAGGTTGAGCACCCCCTGCTGGCCTCACTAACACCGACAGCAACCTAGCTTTCCCATGTGGTCTTCCATCCAGGTACTGACCGGGCGCAGCCCTGCTTAGCTTCAGTGGGTGACCATGTGAGAGTTGCAGAGAGCTAGCTGCCAGCTGACAAGTAGCAGAAAGAATGTGAGAGCCTAATGCAGAAATGCATTAAAGCTATGCAGTTAAAAACCAGCATTTACTCTACTCTTAACCATAACTTCAAGTAATAACAACAACAGCTGATGGTGGAAATAGCAAAGGCAAACAGCAGAGGATCGTGATTTCAAAAACGCATTCGAATCGGTAAAGGAAGAAGCACGCCTCACGTTTTTAATGTAGTTTTGGACGCGATATGTGAATAACCCCATACAGATTTAACCTGAGAGATACAGTACAAGCACTGATCTATAATCGGTACATGATTACAAGCCGCGCGGGGCCATTACAACTTATAACACACAATTAAACACATATTTTGCAAACTACACAAAACGAGGTAAGAATTTTAATGACACTTACATGTTATGATCTGGAGGAAGTAGAAACTGGTACATATGAAATTTAAAAGTCCCAGCCAAAGTCTGACAATGTCCCATAGTCTCTGCTGCTCATTCAATAGCAAAAAGTCCACAAATCCCACATTGCAGCGCAGGTTATTGTATCAAAAATCAGAAAAACGACAGGAACAAACACAGCACGACGTTGGCTATACTGTGTGTATAATTGTTGTGAAAATTAACTTTAACCCTTTATTCCCCTCAGCCGAATGATTGCCATCTTCACTTCATGATCAGTCCCGTGATCCCCCACGCCTTCGCTAGTGTATGAAGTGAAAGCGCATTCACATTTTACCGAAACTGTAACTACATATTTGGTGATGTATCGTTACGGTGTCGATGTGGTTAAACAAAAGATCCAAACCCTACTCGATTCGTTTATTTGACTCTGAGTCAACTATTTTACTAAAGAATCAATAGTTTCAAACAAGGTGCACTTTTAGATTTAAACCTCAGCTGGATGTGTTCATTCACTTGCTATGAAGGTCATTTTCAAAAACCCATAATAGGGGCTCTTTAATGCAACAATTATCGCCCTGGAAATACTGCTAAATATGATGCTAATTTTTAATTGATATTTGTGCTTGTTTTTTATTTGATTTTTTTGAAAAGTCCATGCTGTAGGGAAGACAAGTGTCAATTTTCTAGATGTAGATTTTCACTATGAAAAAAACAAGGAGG